TAATAATAGACGATGAGACAGAGTGTGATTGATGATTTTCGATCGGAAAATTGAAGTCTATAGGTAATACAGTACGTGCTAAAAACTATATGGGTACCTATGATACGCAATGATGATACGATATGAGGATTCGTAGCTTAATAAGGAGCGGCGTGAAACGGACTTAATATATAGTATAGGCGTCGTGAACCCTGCGCGCTAGAAGAGAGTGGATTTTATCAGTCGAGAGGCCTTCGGCCTTACTTCGAAACCATTAAGCCAGGCATTTATATGCAATCGAGGTCGTTAACTGCAGGAAGCGCCGGCGCGTATACAGAATGCCTCGACTGTGTGTCAAGATGTGACACACGTACTTCTGTTCTCTTCGCGTCTGGAACGCATGCAGGGCATTATTATATTATAGTCTAGCATCGTTCATCGTTCTTATTAATTGACGATAGAATCGGGTAGGAAATCCCAGACTACGGTTTAAATGAAACCTCATGATTCAGAATTAAAAATCGTATTCTTGAAAATCGAATAAGAAGAAATGATGTATCCATCAGTTTTTCTAAAAATGATCATTGTAATGAAGTACATAGGGTAGGAGAAAATAAGTGATTAAAGTTGAAATGAATTTGGAATAATTAAAAGGTTGCGATGTCGCGACATGTTCTCATCTGAGATGAAACACCACGACAATCATCAAGATAGTGCATTGGTCGAGTCGGAAAAGATCTGTCGCGGAAAAGGGGCTAAAGTTATGGTCATTAGCGTCAGCTTGTACACGCAGAAAGTTTGCGTTATCATTACAATTTACGTATGGACCTACATATGTATGGGAGGCATACAGACGTTACTTATGGTTGTACTTATGTACATGTATACATATGTACGGGCTGTATGTATGCAACGCGTAGTCTAGAGTCTAGACGCTAATCAAGGGAGGGCACGTGTGTCGTTTCTGTCGCCGTTTCTCTTTGCTTTGTTTCACTTTGAGCTTAGGGAGCGCTGCGAGTTCTCACAGGGAATGGCAAAGGAAAACGAGTTTCAAACGTCTCCGTTTAATTTAGTTGAAATTGGGTTTTTATTGAGTTCTTACATTTCACAAGAAGTAATTCGAATCAAAATTCTAGTCAATTTAAGGAAATAGCAATCGGTTCGTTACATCTAATTAATAAAATAATGGTAATCGTTATCTGCAACTTCAAGAATAGTAATCTTCTATTCTATATCTGATTCCGGTTTACCTGTTGTGAATTATAAACGGAAGTGATTCAGCTGACAAACACAAGCTGCTTCTAACGAGACAAAGTTCCCTGTTAATTACACTCGACCCTGAAAGCTTGATATAATTTCCTTCGGCGGCCGAGTAATTCATTCATTTTGTACGCCACTCTCGCGCTTTTGCAAATACAACTACAGTAATTAACATGTTTCATATGTATCGTCATTAAACATGTAATATTGATGAATTTTACTTTTTTTCTACATGCTTATAATTGTACTACAGTATTTTTTAGTCATATAGCAGAATTGTGTCCCTCTTTCCAATTATGTGACAATTACTCCCTATTTATGGTCGCATAAAATTTTCATTTTAACTTCCTACGAACGTAGGAATGTTTTCGCGTCCGAGATTTTCATAGAACCACCAATTGAACTTGGTAAATTCACTTGCATGGACGAGTTTACGGGAATTCCAGACGTAGTTTTCCTCCCTTCGACGAGGAACGAATCGTGCGTGAGATCAAGATACAGCCACGCGTGACTCGGTGTCGAACAGAGAGCCAAAGAATAGCTCTGGATCTCTGTATATCGGTTCCGTGCGAAACGGCCAGGCTGGCGTAATTAGTAACACATGTGGCTGGTAAACCCCGCCCATCGATAGACTGCCAGGCCGAAGAGAGGAAACTCTATGTTTGGTGAACCTGAGAAAACAGTATAACCGAAAACCATACTCGTTTTGTCAATAATTAACAATTATAGAAATTAAATTTAGTTTCGTATAATAAAAGATTCGTCTCATATTTATTTTCGAAGTACTTCAAATTGCATAATTTAGGGAACAATGAGCTATCAGAACGTTATACCGTCCCTTATTATTTTTTACTAAATGAATTCTGAAAAATAATTAGTTCGTAACTCGTAGGATGTTGATTTCGCGGTGGAATAATCAACGAAGGTAATTATGCAAGAGTTCGTATGTAACCTAGATGCGTTTCACAATTTCAACTGACTGTGCAGCCGTCTGCTCGAAAACATTTATGCTAATTACCATTGGAAATTATTCTTGCGGCCATCTCGGTTCCAAAGAAAAGAGGCTGGATCCTCTGGCACAGCTGCGCTCGTCGCGCGTCTCAATTAACAACGAACTTAGTCAGTGGGAGATACGCCAACGTAAGATTGTCACATGAAATTCAGGAAATCAGAGAATCTGTTCCCGATGCATTTGAATGCATTTCCCGATGTTGCGTCCTTAGTAGTAATACTTTGTACATAAAATATCTATTCAGTCAAATACATACTAACTTGTATCGTTCAATTATTTAATTTCGTAAGTAGATTTTCTTCGTTGCTGGCAGTTCCAAGCGAGTTGCAACCCTTTGTCCGCGGCGCTATTGGTTTCTTCAAAGTAGCTTGTTTAATTTCCAGGACGTGAATCCTCGTAAATAATTCGCATCCGTGTGCTGGGACGTTGGAAACTACCTAGCTATCCCATTGTCAGTTGGCTTGTTAATTTCGTTCGAGTACTCTCTTGTCCTTTCTACATTTCATAGCATACATAGCATTTCAGTTGAATAAATGAATTGTTAAAAACATTTTGCAATAATTTGTCAGCTTTTTTCTCATTTAGATCTCTGATGATCGTGGGAAATAAAAGTTGTGGCGAGAAAGGATTGAAATATTTTAAAATTGACGTAAGCTAGTAGGATTTCATGGTCTATAAATTGTATCAGAGCTAACGATCCATTCGTTAAGTTAAACAAAATGTACGTTCGTCTGGTGAAAAAGTCGGGCCACAAATTTGAGGTTTGGAGATAGCGGCGTGTGTAGAACGTTCGGCTATGTGCGAAAGCGAATTTCTATGGAAATCAGGGTTGCGATGCAAAACTGTTCGCTCTCGGTTGCACGGGAACTGTGCGAGCGCTGCGGCCTTTTTCCGCTGTCAGAGGTTTTCGTTCGGCTTGAAAAATTGTGTCCCACCGCTTTATGGAAATTTTGAGGAACACCGCCGACTGCGCCGACTGATAGCTTTCCTCCGCGTTTCTAACTAGCTTCCACGAGATCTCTTTTTGATCACTAAACTTCCCTCTGAACATTTTTTTCGTCAGTTTCCTTTGTGGGGCAGTCAACTTTCTTTTTCCTTTGT